GACTGCTTTAAAAATTTATATTCTAATAAACTAGATCTTGAAGAAATAAATACATTTCTTGACGTATCAAAATGGAGCCAAGAGGATATAAAAACTTAAAGAGATCAATAAGAAGCAACGAGATTACAACAGTAATAAAAGTGCTCCCAACCAAAAAAAACCACAGGACTAGATGAGTTTACAGCTGAATTTTACAGACATTTAAAGAAAAAACCAAAAATACAAATAATAACAAAGTGAGATAAGAAGAAGCAAGAAGATCTTTTTCAAATGGGAAGGGCAGCAAGACATGGAGAGAGGGCAGCAGGAGAGACAGAAAGAATTAAAAAAACAAGGGACTCAAAGAAAAAAATGGAAATGGACCTTTTCAAATGGAAAGGGGATTAAGAATCAGAGGGACAAGGGAGGGATGAGAGAGGAAGGAGACAAAAAGAGGAATGAAGATGCGTTACACGCATGTTCAAATTCTCCACAATAATCACTGTGTACTGCAAACTGTGTACTGATCACCGTGTACTGCAAACGTAGTAATAAGGAAATACATTAATAAGTAAGAACTAACACCCATGATCCTCCAACTAGTCCATGAGAAGAAAAGAGAAGGAATGCTGTCAAACTCACTCTACCAGGTCATCATCCCTTGATACCAAAACAGTACAAAGGCAGAACAATAAAACAAACAACAACCCATGAAACAGTATCCTCAATAAACGGAGATACAAGACTTTTAATGAAATTTTGTAAACTAAATCAACAATATATTAAAAAGATTGTACACTATGATGCAAGGGATGCAAGGATAGTTCAACATATGCAAATTCAAAAATGTAATACATCACATAAAGTATGCTAGCCCTGTGAAGAGTTCGGGATAAGTATGTAGCTCATGAGAGAGGTCCGGAGCTCGGAAGAGGGACTTGGCTATCACTACATACTAGTATTCATGGAAACTTTATTGTGAAAAAGATCGCTGAAGAGAAAGCCAGCGAGTGACCCACAGTGAATACATGGCCAAACATGCTTTCAAAAGAAACACAGTGAATAGAAGAAGGGAAGAACCAGGAAGAGAGGGAGTTCTGCAATGCCAAATTTGTGGAATGCCAGTTGGCATAGAACCAAATACTTGGGAAGATGAAGCAGCACATAGGATTTAGCTTTGAAAAGTTGTCCAGTGGCCTTGGTGTGATGCTCAGTGACCTTTGAAGAGAAACCAAAGAATCAACAAGAGAGGTTATGAAATAAAGTGACTAAGATGTTTGTAGGCTGGGGATTGTGAGGTCCCCCTGAAAGACCCCCGCCCATTGCAAAGAAAAAGCACTTTGGCTGCACTTCTACACTTCCCAGTGGGCCCAACCGCAAGGGCTAGCACTGCCCCCAAAAGCACCTGCTGTCCTCGCACAAAAATCCCACACTCTTACAAAGTGTTCTTGCAGGTTTTAGAAAATGTTCTTGCAAGTTAACGGCCCTAACCACAAACCCACCTCCCTTGGCTGTTCTGGCCTGCGAACATCCTCCCCGGAAAAACCCTTAAAAACTCAATGCTTTGCACAGCTCGGGGCTGTCTTGGTCCGTTAGGCAGCCCACCGCGCGGTCTGGTTCGGTTCTGTGTGGGTTTCCTGGTCCAATGAGGGATGTCCCTCAGTGGTAGAGCTCACCCATGGGGAAGTCCCTGATTTAGATTTCCAGCACTGCTTAAGTAGTAACTGACTAAATACAGATAATTGAAAACAGATAAAAACTGATGACCATAACGGGATAGAGTGGAATCATAACCTTTATGAGTGGTGCCTGCCTAGGGTGTGAGGGGAGCCTTGCGGCGGATAAAACAGGTGCTCTTATACTGTGAACAAACACGAAGCTGGCTACTTGGGTTTCCTGTACTTTTTGTATGTTTACTATCCTTCAGTGAAGAGTTTAAACAGAAAGCCTTTCTGGGCGTCCAAGCTCTGTGTGGCGACCTCATTTCCCCCTGCGGCCCAGTCATTCCTGTGTTTCTGACTCCCTCCACTTTAGAGGGCCGACTTCCTGTGAATCTCAGAGTCAAGCGCATTCGTTAATTGTCTCTATTTTGCTGTAGAAACCAACTCAAGTGTCCCAGGCGATCTGCTTCGGCCTCCGGGCGCCTAGCCCCTGCCTCCTGCAGCTGGCCCCTGCGTGGACGCGCGCGCACACGGACACGCGCACACACACGGACGCGCGCACACACACGGACGCGCGCGCACACGGACACGCGCACACACGGACGCGCACACACGCGCACGAGCGTCCCTCGCGCCTCTTGTCCCTTGGACCTGC